GGGAAAGGCTGCTCTGGTCCTGTCCCCCACACCTGCACAGATTGTTATTGTTTGTCCTCATGACCCAGGGGTCTCTGAGACATGGCCACACAGCTGGATGCTCCTTCCCTTGCCATGGCAAAGGCTTATCCCAGTTTGTCCAAAGGGAGTGATTCTCCCAGCTGCCCTCCTGACAGGCCTGGCTTGTATCCCTGGCAGTCTGTCAGGCCTGCCTGGCTCCCAGGAGCATCCCTGGAGCTCCACAGGTCAGGGGCACTTTCAACCAGCCAGGCTTCGCCCACTCGAGTAGCAACTTTCCAGCTATGGGAGAGACTGGCCTCCCACGCGCTGTTTTCCTTTCCCTCAGACGTTCCCCAGCTGCCTTGGTGGTGAAGCTCTCTTGGAGCAGCTCTCTGTGATCCTGCTTCTTGGGAGGTTGGGAGGGCTGAGCCATGAAGCAGTGTCTGCTCTTCTCAGGGCTGTGGGCGGCTTTGGGGCCTGCCTGAGGCTGTCCTTACACACCTAGACTGCCTCTTCCCTCACCTCCCTCCTGCCCTTGTCCTGCTCCTTGCCAGGACAATTAGGCAGGAGCGTGTCAAGGAGGAGGGGATATCCTGGGAGGGTGCTGCGGAGGCCCTGACAAGAAGCATTGCGTGGGATGGCTAGGGTAACCTTCTCCCCCAGAAGTCCTCACAACGTGCAGCTTGTGTGTAGGTGGAGAGATTGGGGAGCTGCAGAGCACTTTGGTGCTGGGGGAACAAATTTAACCCCAGTGCTACTGCACTGTAAGACAGACCAGGCATGTGGAGCTACAGTGAGTTTTTTTTTAAAGAGTGCTGGACTGTGGTGGCGAAGCTCCCACGCACTGAGGGTGATGCTAATGTCCTGCCTGGCATTGAGGTGATGGGCAGACGTGTGTGGACCCTGTGACGCGTCTTCCTCTTACCTGCCCAGGCTGTAGTGGCAGTGCTGGGGCTCAGGTTGGTGGCTGCACCCCTGCCTGTACTTAATGGTCTGTGTAGGTATTTTGTACCCTAGGAGGAGGTACAAAATTTGTGCCCAGAGGTGCACAAATGGTTTTGGAGGTCCTGGGAATCTCCTGCTCAGAGTAGGTACGTGGGGGATTCAGTGCTATTTTGCAATGCTGAGTTGTCTCATGCAGGCTGTTGTGCAGCACAGACAGTGGACAAATCTCTTCCTCCTGGAGGACTCACAGCGTGTGGGCGACAGAGCGCCGTGAGCTGTGGGTAGGAGAGCAGGTGCTGCAGTGGGAAGGACTTTCTAAGGGGCAGAACTGCAGGAGATGAACACGTGACATGTCAGTAGCAATAAAAGCATGAAATAAGTGGATCAGAAACAAGGATGGGGGACTGGGAAGTACCAAGGAAAGGCCTAAAATCCTGCACCCTGTTTAGCAGAGCTGGGGATAGAATTGCAGACCGTGCATCTGTGAAGATGTCTTGGGGATTTGTTTTGTGAGTCCAGGGAGGCTGACTGCCAGGTTTTCCGTTTAACACAGCCCCCAGGATGCACAGGGTGTTCCCTGGGGCTTGGAGGAGAGAGATCAAGTGTGAGCCTAAGATCAGGCCTGTGTGGTCCAGAACATGGTGTGGGAGTGATTCATGTTCCTGAGGACAAGCGTCTCACACCACTTCCAGTCTCCCTTGATGTCCGAGATGTTCATACAAGGCAGCAGATGTGGCACAGATAGACTTGTGCACTAGGCAAGATCCTGCCAGGGTCAACCAGAATAGGTCCAGGGCACCTCCAGTGGCGTCAGACACCTATATCTAAGCAGATCATACCTTGGCCTGCTGACACCTCCATGGTTTCACACTCCAGTGTCCAAAGCCAGCCAGTGGGATCTGTAGCTGGGCGTCTGGGCAGAAGAAGGCAGGTTGCAGATGTCTGGGGGTTCTGGGGGATTGCAGTATCCCTGGTATCCTCAGGAGCAAGAGGAGACATATGTCAGAGGTGCAGATGCACTAAAAGAGTTCAGCAGCCTCCTGTGTGCAAAGATGATGTTATGTGGCTTGAGTCTGGCTGTTTTCCTCAGGTCATACTCTCAGCTGGAGTCCACTGTCATGTGCAGCGCGGCACAACTGCTGCCGATGGGGCTGTGGAAGGAGATGGGGAGGTGTTGGATGCAGGTCGCTGCTCCCCTCCACAGCCCTGCAGGTTCCTTCCCTTCAGCTCTCTTCTCTTTGCAGCAGACAGGTACGGTTTCAAAGGAGTCAGACCCTGCCCGCTCGTGGGCACCGGGTGGGCAGGAGTTCCCTGAGAAAGCGGCAGTCCCTGCCCCGATCGTTTTTCAGGTACTGGTAGCACTGAGTGTGAAGCCCACCCCGCATGTGTGTGCAAGGGCTGCTGTGAACCGCACAGATTCTGCCTGGAGCTGGGACCACGTTGCTTTCCCAGGGCTGGCCAGGAGGCCTGCAAACGGGCAGGAGTGAGAAAGTTCACGTGTGCTTCTAACAAAAAACCAGTGGTCACTCCTACTAAATATGTAGGCAGCTGTCAATAAGTAGCATGGACTAACAAGCTGTCCACCCGCCAGCTCACTCCCTCCTGCCTTTCCTAACAAGCTGTCATCCTCCTGGTGTTCACCGTAGCTGGAATATCTCCCCGGGGCAGCCACAGCACAGCCTGCGTTTGCTGGCATCAGTGCAACATGTGGTGTGTGTGTACATTGGCCCCAAAGCCTCCTTGGGGCAGAAGGGGAAGGAGAGGAAGCAGCACTGAACAGATGCTAGTAATCTTGGTCCAGGTGGGGCTCAGAGGCTGGTGAATGGAATAGAACATCCACTTTTTCCCTGTTGACATCATGGCTTTTTCTAATCCAAATGTGACTGTCTCCTTTTTGAGGTGGAGGTCTTCGTTTACTTAGCACCAAGGACATGAGCTGCTCCAGGAGTCCAGGGCACAATGGCCCATCAACCACCACCCCCAGACTGGAGCTCAGTAAACTTTTAAATCAGACAGTGTGACTTTGTGCTTGGCGGGGACTGGACATAATGCCCAGGAGTCCCTTCCTGTCCTGCCTCCTCACCACTGCCCTTGGCCAGATGCCACTCTGGCACTGTGTCTGCCTTTGGCAACTGCTTGTGTTTGGTCTTGGCCTTTCAGGTTAGCTCAGCGTGATAGAAGAGTGAAAGCTGACCTCTGATGTTGGTTTATTGTTTGTCCAGGGAGTCTATAGGATGTGATGGGTCTCCCCAGCTGGACAGGGGCATTCAGCATCTTGCCAGGGTGCTCCAGATACCCTAAACTCTGTAGTCAGCTCTCCTGGACTATCTTGACGACGATCAGAGAGTAGGACAGCTCTTTACTCTGGCCCTGGACCAGTAGTGGTCTCTGGCAGTTCAGGAGTGGTCCTCAGTGCAGAACAGCTGTGGTGGTGCTTGTCCTTCCAGGAAGCAGTTTCAGGGGGCTCTGAGGTGCTGCTCTTGGTACAATGGTCCATTCATCAGCAGACTCATAGGCACAAATGACCCTCAGCAGTCAGTCCCTTTGAGGAGCGGCCACATGTACAGGCTTGTCACGCAAGGTCACCTTGGTGTTGAAGCATTGGTTATGGCAGCCTGTGAGAAGCCCTCTGAGCTGTCAGACTGTTTTGTGGCGTGTGTTGTGCTGGCGCATCTGCACAGCTGGAGCGTCACCTCTGTGCTGTCGGCTTGGTTTGGGTCTGTCAGACCAGGCACTGACCTGAGGCTCTTACACTCTGAACACAGATGAAGGTTGCTCTGAGGAGATGTGGGTCCGTGGGGGCAGAGCAGTGCTCCGAGACATGCACGTAGCCCTGTCCCTGAGGTCTGGCCAATGTTGATTTGCTGGAGGCATTTGGAGACATTTGGGTCCATGAGGTTGGGTGAGATCTAGTGATGGCCCGTGTGACCTCGCGCCTGCTGCAGGGTCTGTTCTGGGTCATTGGGAGCACGGGGAAGGTGGAGGTCAGTGCATGGTGGTTTGCATCTGGGGATTTTAGCTGGGAAGTCTGTGGGGTTTGAATTTACATGGTGGCAGGACACCTTCACCTGCTGGATAATGGTATTTTTGCTCGATACAGTGCAAAACATAAGGCTAGTTTCCTGTCACCAGTGCACTGACTCAGCTCCCCTGTGTGACCTGAGTGTAGATTTAACCCAGCCTTTACTCCAGTGTATGTTTTAACGCTCCCTTTGTGATCTGTGAGGTCTTGCTGCTCAGCAGCTGGAAATCCTGTCCCTGTGCAGGGGGTCTGAGGTCAGGGTTTTGGGACTGGCTTGGAGGGACTTTTAGGTTTTGACACCTGGGCCAGACAACTGTAGACTGACACAGCTTGTCATCTTCTGAGGAAGGATTAGCCACAGTGGGAAAGGCTTGGCAGGGCCGCGATGATCTTTGTAGGTTTAGGGTTCCAGCTGTCCTGCAGTGTTTGAAGGAGGCTGTTAGTCTGACTTACCCTGATCCCTCTTTGCCTTCCTATGGATTTTGCTTTTGATCCACTGCTCTTCTGTGACAGCAGCCACTTGGCAGCAAACCTACCTTGTGGCTGCAGCCTTGTGCTCCTACTTCTGCAACCAGCAGCTTAGAAATGTGTGTGCCTGCCTTAGCAGAGATCAGGGCCACAGCAAACATTTGCCATTAATGTTACCTTTGAGGAGGACAGAAATCCTGCAGCATGAGATGGGGGGAAGTTAGGGATATCCTGGGAGTGTGGGGGGTGGCTGGGAGAGAACAGTGAATTCTGGTGGCTCTCAAGAGAAGCTACAGAGCCATGAAACAGTACAGACCTAGAGCAGTGGGAACCTAGAGCTGGCCTGAAGATGGTAAGTGTTTTCAGTAGATGGTGAAAGGTGGTGTGGTTTTTTTTCTTTAAAAACCAAGTTATTTTCTGGATTTCTGTTCCATCTCTTTTTCTTTCTTTTTAGAATAACTCCAGACAAACTGTCCTTTACATGCAGTGAATCTCTCCTGTCATTTTTCTTCTGTCTTAAGAGACAGAATGCTGTTGATGGCTGAACATTTCTGGCCAGCAACTGTCAGGCTGCTAAAACCAGCTGAGGACAGGCTGTGAGATGCTCGTGGGGAAGAGTTCTGCCTCTTTGAATTGGGGTGGGCTGGAAGTGACCACCAGGGGTTTTGTCTTTTCATGTACATAGTCCAAACAAACCTAATGCTTCTTTGCACTTGTATGCTGGCATCTTTCAGAGGCACAGCAGACTGGTTTGGGGTGAGCAAAGACAGCGACGCTACTCAGAAATGGCAAAGAAAGAGCCTCCGCCACTGCAGCCTGCGGTATGGGAAGCTGAAACCTCAGGTCATCCGGGAAATGGACTTGCCCAGTCAGGACAATATTTCTCTAACAAGCACAGAGACTCCTCCTCCGCTCTATGTCGGACCCTGCCAGCTGGGCATGCAAAAGGTGAGCAACCTGGGACAGAGTCAAGGCCATCGTGAGTTTCCTGCCCAGCGTCTTTACCACTTTGGCAGCTGTGACCTATCTGTGGGCTCAGTTCTGCCTGAACGTGTTTGGGCTCCGTGCTCAGACACTTCTCAAGTCTCAGATACAGTTTGGCAGCCTCCCTCCTTCAGCGTCTCTCTGGTCTTGTTGGCCAAGGCGCCTCAGCTGTGTCAGTGGCAGGCTCAGAGCTGTATTTGTCATGTTGTGACTCAGGTGGTGACTAGATGTGGGCAGTGTGTCCAAGAGCTCTCAGCTCAGACTTTTTGATGCCATTTTGCAAGGACAAAATTCTGTCGTATCCCGGACCCAAATACAGAGTAACAGGCCTGGTATCACTCAGGACACTTGCCTAGTGGATCCTTGTCCCGAGCAGAATGCAGGCAGTAGCACAGCTACTTGTCCTCATAGAAAACTGGTTATGTTTTAGGACTTTGAAAAGTGTCTCTTGCATCAGCAGTACTACAGCTCTGCTCACAGCTCCTCAGAAATGGTTTTGAGTGCCTGCAAAGGGCATCTGGTAGCTCCCTACTTGCTGCCTTCAAGTGTGACCCCAAGGGACAAGACTCAGTCAAGCACATCCAGTTACCAGCACGTCGGAACTAACCCACAATATCCCAGCTCTCCCCTTTGCTCTGGTCAGCAGTTGGTTTGATTCCTGTGCATCAGTGAGCACCACTGCAACCTGGGCAAGGGGGGAAACAGATTCTTTCCAAAGGAGGTTAGTCTGTGGCCTGAAACCTGGCTGCACCACTGAGGCAGAGGACAATATTGTGCATCTTTCAACCAAGTTTCACCTTATTGTGCTCTTTCCTATTTTCTTACTAGCCAAAGTGTCTTGCAGTCAGTCTTTGGTCACAGGAGACTCAGAAATGTCGTCGGGCTCTATGTGGGCTACATTAAATCAGAACATGGTATCAGTAGGTGTAAGCCCATAAAGCTTCCTGTTGAGTGTGCATCTGTGGATTAAAAAAAGCTCGTAAAACATGAGGATAAAGCATGGAAGACTTATGGAAACCACAGCTGTGATGATGTAAAGTCAGAGGCAAGGTTTGTAGCTGAAGGCAATATTTTCATTAGGTTGATTTGTATGTTTGGAAGAAGTAAGAGCTTTGGCCTGAAGATCCCAATGAAGGGCTTGCAGCTCCCGGAAGCTTGCCTGCTTTTTGCAGCTGTTACAACTTAAATAATGGAAGCAGATGTAAATATCCAGTTAAGCTTCAACAGGATGCTGTTTAAGTCCTTGGCTGTCCAGTGTCAGAAAAGAAACTAGCTGGAGAAAGAGCTTGGCTGTTTTCAGGGCTTTCTCAAACTCCTGTTCAGACAGCACATTCTCTGACTGCGGAGCTCGCTGGCACAGGAGGTTAAAGAAACTAAGAGCTTAGGAAAGGCTGAAGGAGGTTTGGAGTCTCCTGTCAACATCAGGAACATCTGGGTGAAAATAGTCAATACCAACCAAAAAAAAAAGGGCAAGAAGAAAGGTTTGAGGACTTAGGTTTGGGGCTTACGACTAGGGCTTAGCTTGAAACAGGTTATTCCTTATGTGCCTATTGTAGAATTGTTTGTTGGTCCATCCAGCCTGGTTCTTGGTCAATCCCAGGAGCTAGGTGACTGTCATGGTCTCAGGATGTTTGCTTGGAGGGAGGAGGGCTTGGTAGGGAAGGGTTTGGGGGTGAATGGACTGATGGGCTTCTTCTCTTGGCAGATCATAGATCCCCTGGCCCGCGGCCGAGCTTTCCGTATGGCTGACGACAACGATGGCTGCAGCATCCCCCACACACCCATCACCCCAGGTGCCACGTCGCTCTGCTCCTTCACCAGCTCGCGCTCAGGGTTCAATCGCCTGCCTCGGCGGCGGAAACGGGAGTCTGTGGCCAAAATGAGTTTCCGAGCAGCTGCGGCTTTGGTGAAGGTACTTGGTCTATGGGAGGGCAGGGACCAGGCTGGTGGCAGGATGGGCCTCTGCTCTGAGAGAAGGGAAGGAGCTGCTGAGCAAAGAGGATGGGGAGAGCAGTGGTGGAGGGGAAGAAACCAAACCATCTCCTGTTCTGTTTCAGCCATCTGGCTAGGAGGCAGGATATGCAAGAAGCAGGGATGATGGTTTTGGTACAGGTCTTGCTTTCCCTTTATTGGCCTGGGGGCTTATGATTCCCACAGAAGCTCAGAGCATTCCAGCAGGACCAGTTCAGCCTGCCTGGGCCTCTGGATGGTCCATCTGCACGTGGTCAGCAGTCATGGAAAAGCAGAAATACCTGGAGGCTGTTGCTATGCAAGTCTGTCCATCCTGCCACATGTCTGCTTTCCTGGGCCCAGTGGCCTTTTTGCTGTGTCCAGTACCACCCATCACTGCGGTCTGGTCAGAGACATTGCACAATACGTGGTAGCAGAGCATGTTGCAAGCCTCACCCGCATGGGAGATGGGCACTGAGGACTGAGAAGTGGGGTAACACCTGTGGGTCTCACCAGGAAGGTGTCACACATCAGCAGGTCTGCTGTGCTCCACACACAAGCGTGAACCAGCTCAGCACTTGGGCTCTGTGTGCGCTGGCTGGGGTGGCCTGTGGTTCAGGTTTCTGGCAGTGACTCGATGCTGCTTTCTCTGGCTACAGGGCCGCTCTGTGAAGGACAGCACCCTGAGGAGAGCTCAGCGACGCAGCTTCACCCCAGCAAGTTTCCTGGAGGAGGACACGGTGGATTTTCCAGATGAGCTCGACACTTCGTTCTTTGCTCGGGTGAGGAGCAGGGCTCTGGCGTGGTGCTGGCCTGTGCTGCAGGACTCTAGGTCTGGCAGGACTGTGTGTTGTGGAGAGCAGCACTGCTTTCTGCCAGGGCTGATGTCTCAAATGTGATCTTGGATTTTTCTGATGGGACTTCTGTTTCTCTGCCCAGGAAGGAGTCCTTCATGAGGAGCTCTCCACTTATCCGGATGAAGTGTTCGAGTCGCCATCAGAAGCTGCAATCAAGGAGGCTGAGGTGAAGCCTCCAGATCAGACAGATCTCACAGGAGGTGCCTTGGACAAAAATGAGCTTGAAAGAAGCCACTTGCTACTGTGAGTATTTTCCTGGAAACTGCCAAAGCCTAACATGGAGTGGCCAACCCATTCAAAATGGGACCTTCTGCATAGAGGAAGCCAGCATCTGAGTGCTGTGGGTGCTTGGTGCAGAGCTCAGAGCAGTGCAGTGGTGGGTTTTCTTTAAATCCAGCTTAAAACCTCCTGCCCAGCTACCCAGGCATGTGAAAGTTGACTCTCAGGCCACCTTTGCAGTCTCTCCAACAACTTCCAGCCTAAGGTGTTGTGTTTCAGAGACTGTATTGTGTCTTGAGGGAAAAAAAAAAAAGACACTTGAAATCAGCTGTGAGGGTGCTGGGCACACAGCCTTTGGCTGTGGAGGACATAGCAAAGACAAGGAGGCTGTTACCATTGCCACAGCCACCAGGAACTGTTGTCTCACTCCAAGGAGTGGTGTGGGGCACTACTGAGTGTCAAGCTGGGCTACATTCCTCACTCCAAACGAGAGGAAGGTGTGGCAGTGATGCTGAGAGCCCTACAAATATGTGGGTGGTACTGTACTGTATGCCTAGATTTTTTCCACCTGAGTAACTGGTACTGAGTAATTGCTCTGTGTCGTTTCCGAGTCAGCTCACCCCAGCAGAGAGCTCTGCTGGGTGTGAACACGGAGCAGACAGGGAGGTCCTTGTTGTGGTTCTGCTGCTCATGGCCCATCTTGCTGTGTTGGCGCTTTCCCTTCAAGTGCTTCCAAGAACTTGACTCAATCTTAACATAAGTGGAAGCAGCAAGTGGTGGGCGTCTGTTGTCACTCCTCTGAGACAGTCTCAGTCTTGGCTCCATTTGGATGTCCTTAAATAGTTTTATTTATTGAGGAAAATACATTTCTTTCACACTTCAGAGACCTGTTATCAGAATCATAGTCGGGTGTCCTTTTAGGTGGCCAGGTGTTTATTTTGGCATAGGCACTGGAAATATTGGGAAACAGCACATCCGTAACACAGAAACCACTTGAACTCTTGGGGCAAGAGCAGGCTTCAGTGGAACCTGCACTTTCTGTTGGAGGAGGACTTTCCCAGGGGAATTTGGGACTTTCAGCTTTATCAAAGTGCATCTTCTGCAAGGTGCAATATTGAAAATAGCTGAAGTTTCACAGCGGTGTTTTTGTCTTAAAGAGATTCAGATTCTCCCTCATCCTGTTGCTTGTCCATACTTCAGAGTTGTCCTGGTCTCTCCAAGATGCTCTGGTGATCTTTCAGAAAAAAGTTTGTCAGCTGGTTTCTCTGCCCACTTCTGACAAGCATTGTCTTTTTGCAGAGGGGGTCATTTAGGAAGCCAGAGGAGCTAAACTAGATTAGAGGGACACACCTGCTACAGTGCTAGGCAGTGAGCAAGGGTGAAATGATAGGTAGGTTTTTTTTTGGTCAGGGTGTGAATGCTGCAGACCTGACCTCCAGACTGCTGTTTAAGAGCCAAGAAATACAAAACCATATGAATATGGTGGAGACGTACAAAGCAGGTTCTACTCACCAGCAGCTTGTGCAGTGTTCATCACGTACTCTTATTTGGGTAAAAAATTCCTGTAGACAGTGATGCTTGGGATTTTTACTGTGTTGTTGAAGCCTGGCTTTGTTGTTTTCCTGAAAAATGCATACATTGGTGGAAATAAAGGGAGGAATGGAAGACAGATCCTGAGAGGTAACTGGCACAGCTTGTACCGTGTGACTGTGTCACTTTCTTGGTCGGGGAAGCTGCTTGGATTCCTGGTCTTCTCCTTTGCCCAGTTCACAGTAAAGTGATTTAAGGGAGGGGATTTCCACTGGTGGGCTAAGCTACATTTTCATTTCACAGCAGAGAACAGAGTCAGAGGAATGAAGTAGAGGAGACAATAGATGTGCATGAGGCTGCAGATGTGCCCAACTGCAGCCTCTCCTGTTGCTGAAACGCTTTAAAGCCTTGAGAGCTCCTTGTTGGTGGGGCTCAGTTTGGCACAGCTGCCTTGTGCCACCTTCTGCAGGTAGTCCTGTGCTTTCCTCGACTGGCACTGCATAACCCTTTGAAACACAGCTTCCACTTCAGGGCACCTTCCCTGCCATCTGCTGCCACCAAAGACCAGGGAGGGGCTGCTCCCCGTTGCTGTGCCATGCAGAAGGAAACCATTGCTGCCCCGCTTTTTATTTCAGCCCACTGGAGCGAGGCTGGAGGAAGCAAAAGGATGGGGCCCTGGCACAGCCCAAGGTCCGCTTGCGGCAGGAGGTGGTGAGTGTCAGCCCCCAGAAGCGAGGCCAGCGCATCGCCGTCCCTGTCAGGAAGCTCTTTGCCAAGGAGAAGAGGCCGTATGGCCTGGGGATGGTGGGGAAGCTGACAAACCGTACATACCGCAAGCGCATCGACAGCTACGTCAAGCGGCAGATTGAGGACATGGATGATCACAGGTGAGAGCTGCAGTCATGGAACGGGTCCCAGCAAAAATAGTGAGTGATTGTTGCTGCCCCACGGTGACTCGGGTCACTGCCTTGGGGTGTTGGGTGAAACCTGCTGGTAAGACCCTCCAGTCTGTATCCCTGAAGCACAGAGCAAAGTGCAGCAGACAGCAGCATGTTAGCATCCCCGAGCACTGGGAGCAAACCCTGCTCCTCACGTTGCTTTGAGTGTCTGTATCTGTGCTACCTGGAGGGACTGCAGATCTCTGTCCCACCACGGCTGGCCTGTGATGAACAGGAAGGCTCAGGTATCCCTGTCTCTGGTCATTCCCCTAAAGTCATTATTTCAGACACACGGTGCACTTTGGTATCATGCTTACGTTCTCCTGAATCTTTTCTTGGGAAAAGGTGGCTTGAGGAATGTAATGTAATGAGGAGGTCAGAGTAAACAAGGTCTGTCTGCCAGCATGACCTTAGGTCATTGCTTTGTCTTGTACATCCCTACATGATCCTGGCCCTGTACCCCTGATTCTGACAAGATTCTGGGGGAAAACCAGCAGCTTTTCTCCTGTGCTCTGTGAGTAGTTGTAACATGCCTAGGCTTCTGCCTCTGATCTTTTCCCTTTCCCTCTATCCAGGCCTTTCTTCACGTACTGGGTCACCTTTGTGCATTCACTCATCACCATCCTCGCTGTGTGCATCTACGGCATCGCCCCTGTGGGGTTCTCACAACATGAAACTGTTGATTCAGTAAGTAAAACTCCTTGACTTGCCTGGAGTGTGATTGTGTTTTGGCCTTCAGCTTCTGGCTTGTAGTCTTCAGCATATTGGCTACTTTCCTGAGGACCTTGATGGCTGGATGCTGAGTGTCCAGCCTTGGGGTGCTGTCTGCAACACCTCTGTGAGCACCCATGCTGCCTCCTCGCCCTCCTGTAGCCACATTGCTCTTGACATCAAATTATATCTGGCACAAAGCATGGTGGGCTTTTTGCAGGCTCTGGTTGTGTCTGTGCTGGGAGCCCTTTCAAACAAGTTGTTCCCCTCCTGGTGGAGACCAGAAGGGTGTTCATGACAGGGAAATATTTCAAACCTGAGTTAAGTTTTTGCAGCAGTTGCAGGATTTTGCTTCTGCCAAGAGCAAAACTGACCTGTCTGACTTTGAGAGCTGATCTTGAAGCTGTTTCTAGCCTTCCCACATGGTGTTAAATGTCTCTGGGGTACATATCTTTACGGCCATATCCCCACTCCATGCAGGGGATTCCCTGGGGAGCTTCTCACCTGCACACATCTGACAGCTTCCAGAGCACTGTCACCAGCACCCAGGCCTGTGCTGCTGGCTGAGCTGTGTGAAGCTTTTTGCAGGCCTGGGATTTCTTGAAAGTTGAAGTAGCCAGAGATAGACACTTAAAATGAAATTTTAAGATGAGGGTGCCCACGCCTTGATGAGGGCTTACCTGTGATCCTGCAAAAGACCAGTTTGAGGGAGCCATGTGCCCAGTTTCTGTTCACCCTGGGTGCTGTTTTCACCAGTGCCTGCTGATTGCCCTGCTTGCCCTGTGGGCAGGAGCTCATGGGGCTCTCGCTTTCTCCTCTTGCAGGTCTTGCGAAACA